CATATCGTATAGAAAATATGTTCACGAATCCTATGGAAAATACGTTCATGAATCCTATGGAAAATACATTTACGAATCCTATAGAAAATGCATTTGTGAACCATATAGAAAATACGCTTACAAATCATACATGTGAGACACTTACAAATCATACGTGGGATGCATTTACAAATCATATATCAGATTCGCTTACAAATCATATATCAGATTCGCTTACAAATCATACACGGGATTCACTTACAAGTCACCAAAGTGACATATTCACAAATTATATGAACGATACATTTACAAATGTTATACCTAATATGAATGTTTCTAATACCATAGTTGTTGACAAGAACACTGGGGTGAGTTAAAGTTGTACATGTTTGTCTCTCATTACTAATAATTTGTCTAACCATTATGAATCCTTGTATTTTCTGTTTCATGATTTATAAAGATTGACCATAATGAATCGGTTAGTGATTCTTGTGAAGCAATTCAAGATACTATGAATCGTAATGATACAGATGATGAAAATTCTTTTGAGGTAAATTGAGTTAATGAGTAATACAAGTTTTCTTTATAATAAAATAATAATTAATAATATGTTTTTTAGATATTTTATTGGCATTGTTTGCCAAATTTTTTGCAGGATATTTTTTCTTCTAATTATAGTTATATGATTCAGCATCTTATAAAATTGCTGTCATATTATACTTATGAGAGCTTTGAAATACAACAATTTAAAGTTGATATGTTCATTAATATTTCAATTGTGAATGATATAAAAGCATGGTTTTTTGCCTTTGAAGAATATTCAAAAACAATGATGTTACAGACAAAAGGATATGAGGTTAAAGGCAAGCAAGTTATTTTTAGAGAATTAAAACATTGTATTTATAGTCAAATGGTTAGAAATAAACAAGGTGATTTTAAATAAAAGTGTTTAGAATCTTTATATAATAGAAATACAAGTTGTTTAGCAATTTTGTGTTTATGATTAGAATGTTAATGTTTAACTACTAGTTATTCTTTGAAGGTTAAGCTTTGTTTTAAACATAATCATATTATTAATTCAGTTAAGTTACTTAGTTTTAGATATGTACATAAAGAAATATAAAATAAATTTTTACAAATGTTTCATGATAGTTACTTACTTATGTTTGTTTTATATACTCATGAAGATAAATTGCATCTTTTAGCTTCATTGAATAAAAATCTTACTGAAATTCTTGCTAATCATGTGATTCATCCTGATTATACTTATGTATTGCATCTTTTTAAACAGTATCATAATTCTTAGCTTGGTAGACAAAATATGGCATCAATGTTTTAGCATTTAAATAAAAAGCTTACAAATTATAATACATTAAATTATAGGTATGCAATTCTTAAAGAATATAACTTACAAATAAGAAAAGTCTTTATATTATATATTGTTACAAGATTAATAAATCAAGTGCATAAGAAAATTCATAAAACAGAAAAAATTTGTTATATAAATGCATTTGCATTATTTGAACCATTAAATATAGTAATAAAATTTTTGTATACAAGTTGTATAATAGGTACATTCTTGTTGAAACTTTTTATTACATCTGATGAACTTGTAATTACAATTGAAATAGCTATTAATTTCTTAAAATTAATTTTTTCTGAACATATATTTTTCAATTGTGGATATGAAGTTAGGCTTCAAAATATTTTAACTGATAATTCTGTTATAAAATAAAGTGTGTTAAAACTATGTTAGTTATAATCCAATCTGTTTTTGTGTATATTTCATATATTACAAACATTCTAACATTGATTATACAGTTCAAAACATGATATTAACAAAAAACATCACATAATTATTATAAATCAAATAAAAAAATATTGTATACTATACAAAAACTAACTTTAATAACTATTATTAAATTAAAAAACATTTATTATCATTAATATCTGTTATTTACAAAACATTATAAGTATCTTTAAAAATGTTAACAATATTAGACACATTATTTTTAATTAAATTTACTATTACATAATAATTATACAAATAACTAAATAGAACATAGTTTCAGTTTGCTTAAGGACATTATTTTTACAAGAACATAGACTTTTAATCCAGTTTAAATATTTTATTTTATTACTAAAAATATGAAATAATTTTATAAACATTATCTATATGGATTTGCATATCAACATCCTGGTCATATAAAAATTACAAAAAGATTCTTGTGTTACAGTTAAAAAATTGTTAATAAAAATTTAATTTGTCAACTAAAAAATATAAATAAATATCTAATACCAAATACAAAAAAGGAATCAAGACTTGTTTATATTGTGAACAGTATTATTGGAATATATAATTGTTTTATTAGATTGACAAATGCATCATGTAAGCACCAAGGTGCTGTCATAATGAAATATTATATCAAAATTATCAAAATTTTATCTTTATTAAGTCTCAATAATTGTATAATTTTTTCATATATTGCAAGTGGTTAATATTGATATTATTAATATTAAAATGCATATAATATTACAGTATTTGATTTTTTTTCAAGAACTTAATATAAAAGATCATTCTTTTTATACATTATTATATTCAGATCTTATTTTAATTAATCAAAATAATATTATAAATAAAAATGAAAATGAAGATTTATATATTGATACTGTAACAATAGTTAAAAACAGAATTAGTATAAGTAATAAATTTAGATTTGTTTTTATATATATTAAATTATCACTATTTTAATTTTTTTCTAAATTTTATATACTATTACTATACTTTTGTAAATTTTACATATTATCATTATTATATTGTATATTTATTGTATATATATAAAGAATAAAATTTATACTAAAAACTACAATATTATTTAGTAAAATGAAGGATCAAGAAGCAGATTTTGATAGTTCATCTTTCAATAATTTTTTTTAAAAAATTGAAGATGATTATAAAAACTACAGTTCACAATTACAGATAACATTTGATAAGTTTTCTAAATGATACAAAACTACTAAATCACTATCAATTGGATAATTAATCACTTTTTTTTATAATCATAATCTTGATTCTTCAACACATATTAAAAATAAAACAATGTTTTGAGTTCAACCTGAATCTGTAAAATGAAGAAAAACAACTATTAAACAAAGAATTAGTATAAATAAGGAAAATGATTCTCAAGAAATTCCCAAGTATAAAGTATAAAAAACAAATAAAACTAAATATAGTTTGTGCACAAATGTTTCAAATGATATATTAAATTAATAATAACACTCAAATTATTATTTAACATATTGGGATTTCAGAATTAATGATTTAATATTCAATTTTAAATAAAATAAATGATGTATTTATTGTGATATACAAATTCTATTTTTTTAAAATACAAACTTATTTGCATAATTGCTTATCAATAAATGTAATAAATATTTTTATCTATTATTATATCTAACTATATCTTTTATTTTAGCAATTTTAACTACAATATATATTAAAATCAGTTTTATTGTATAATAAAACTCAATACATAGTGATGTTAAAATGTTTACAGCAGAGACTATTAATGTTATACATATATTAAAACTGATAAAGAATTATATCTATAACAATTGAATCCAATATAAATAATTTAATTTGTGATTATAGGTGAGAGAGATTCACTTTGGATCAGGCACTGTCTCTGCTATAAAAATGTTTAGTCAGCATCACTACTAGAATACAAGAATTATCTAGAATTATTATAAAATTGTTTTATTAAACAAGTCTTATGTAATTTACAATTAAAAATTTATTATGCAGAATAAAATTCA